ATACATGTTTTTTATTTGGAGTCTTATACAACAAATAGTATATCAACTATTCCAAATAACTAAAATTACAAACCACAACAATTCCAAACCATATTTGGTTAATATATCTATGGTGAATACGGCTCTTCGCAGGAGGTGTCGCATACATTCCCTTTCTTTTTTATGTCTACAGGTGCTGCGTGGTCAGGGCATAGTTAGTAGATGGTTAGTAGTGGTCACGGTCATCTAGGTACCGTAAAATTTCGAAAATAAGCCCCTCCAAATATAGGCCCCCCAAACCGGTAACGTAAAAAACCCTCCGTTAAATCGCCCCTCCAAATATAAGCCCCTGGGGGCTTGTACTTGGAAAATTGCTCTCAAATACAAAGTAAAACAAAGCAAAAACCGTAAATTTACTTCCAACTATACGGCTAGCCCAATCGATTTTGAAACGCAAATTTCCCTCCGTAGATAAGCCCCTCCAAAAATAAGCCCCTCAAAAAGGGCCTTTGAAAAATATAAGCCCCGGGGCCTATTTCCGGAATTTTACGGTATTTTTGTTAACAACTGCCAATAATGTGTCCTTATTCATCATCATCATTTATTAGCCTTGATATTAAAATGAATTTTACAAAATACAGCATGTTGTTAAGCGAGGAGACCTCGAGAAACCACCAGGCTGAAAGGAGAGGCCACATCGACATCACAATATGATAATAATATGACAATATGATGGCTAATTCAGTAATTACTTACTTGCTGCCCGCTATGCCCGCTGGCATGAATAAGGGCAGCAACGAAGGTAATCAGTAGACTAACTATACCTTTATTTACAAATAGAGAAAAAAATAGAACGTCCACAAACATTAGTTAGACAAAGGGCGCATTATAACAAATTCATAAAACGTCACTCATGTGTCAGTGAATTTATAAAAGTCACCGTAAATTAAAGGTAATTTTTCCTGCTTTGCATAAGCGCACTCTGTTCCCTAACGATATCACAATGCTGGAAAATCGGCCATTGATCTCTCCGGGAAAGACTGTGAGCAAAATAGGGCAAAGTTTCGTTATTTTACATACAAGATTTTTCTACTTGCAAAAATCCTCTTTAAAAGAAAGTAAAAGGAACTTTGTAGGCGGACTGCAGAGCGACGAGCGGAGGCTGTTTATACTCTTGTAATATCACAAGTTGTTATTGGTTTCTAAACTCAAAGTCAACTCCGATATATAAATATTTCGGGTTCCTCATTTTTTTTCAGCGTTTTTCCTCTACAGTGCCTATCTTGTAGTCAATCGGTGCTACTAGATTTTCAGCTGGTTTGGGGGTATCGAGAATTGTAGGCATTCTACAGAGCTCCGAACAGATATTTCCCAAAAAACAGTGGTTGGGTGCCCCTGACTAAAGCAAAACATTGAATTACTATTGTTATAAAAAGGAAAACGATGCGCTTTTTTCTTGGTCTTAAAAGGATGCGTCGCAGTTCTTGTACTCTGAGAATTTAAGCCCTTCAAGTTTGTCGTTTGTCGTTTGTCGTTCATGTTTATTTTCTAATACTAATCCATTCTTAATCCTATTACAAAATTTTCGTAAATACTTCTATAACGTTCTTTTATTGCACCATGTTCCGTTTTCTTTAATTTCAAAATAACTCCATCCATCGCAAAATTATAACCAAACTCATCATTGTGATGGAGCTCAATTTACAGTTGGGTAGAAGTTCTTGTGGTTCTCTTGCTAGTTCCCCAGACGACACCATCTTCCTTTTTCACAGGCTTTGGCACTTCTAAAGCGTATAGAGCACCTTGACAACAACCGCATTTGGCTAAGACAACTTTGACACCATCACGAAAGTTCTCGTTAAAAACGTAATAGATTATTGGATTTATGACTCCATTCATAAAAAGCATTACCACTGCAATGAAAAGGCCGTGCTTTCTTCTGAACGCGGTGTAAAAGCCGAAAAAATGTGACAGACTCAACAAGATAACTGGCACCGAGCAGAAGTAGAACACAACCACTAGTGTCACCAACATTTTGAAAATGTCGCGATTTCGCTTTTCTCTTCTTGTTTCAGTTGCCCGGATTGGTTGACCGGGCAAGGCTCTACGCCGCCACAGCTTCAAACCAATAGCGATGTAAAATACAAGCATCGCGATCAGGGTTGTGGTGAGAATTCCCCCCAAAATGATGTACCATAGCTTAAGAACCTCTAAGTCCAAAACCGTGCATTGGGTTAGATGATCAGTCAATTTACGCAACGTGGCGTAATACATCATGGGTGAGGCAAAGACAGTTGAAATAAACCACGTTAAGAAAATTATGAAAAAGCAAACTTTGCGAGTCACAATTTTTTTGTAAGGTGAATAAACAGCCAAAAACCGAGCTAGGGCAATTGCGAGGATGGTAAGATTGCTTGTAACCATAGAAATTAGGGAAAAGAACATGTCTATCTTGCATAAAATGGTGCCCAAGTTTCCCTGAAGAACCCAGTGACCTCCCATGACAAAATTGTTGTACGCGAGCGGCAAATTCTGCACAGCAAACAGGACGTCTGCCGTGGACATGTTCGCTATAAAATAACTGTTGGCGGTCCTTAGACGTTTGCGAAAGTCCTTCTTTAAAACCACAAGTACCAGAATGTTTTCGATTAAAGACACAGCGAGAACAAGCATGCAAATTACAGTTTTTGCGACTATCACCTCAAAACTGTCTCCCTCAAGATCCGTTACGGAAGAATTGGTCGCACTTTCCATCATCAGAAAGTTCCCTCGTGTCAAGGATTATCGTTCTCAGGAAAATTCAACCTTTTATCATTTCTTTTATAACAAAAAAACACCTGTAATTTCAAGTTCAAGGGCGTTGTCAGTTATTGAATGTCTAACTGACAATGAGAACTGCATTTGTAAATGAAAATTTAAATGTTAATGTCGAGATCTTAAGCAAATATAATCTACCTCACAACAAAGCTTTTACCATATTTTTAATAACCTCTGCCGCTAAACAAACAACAGACTGCATTTAACGTAAGGAGTGGGATTTTAAACAAAAACTATTTGCCACGCGGGTTTAAATAAGTTAAATGAGGAAATAACGTACATAAGGTTTGGATGAGAGGCGCAAGGATGAACTTTTGCTTACTCATTTTAAAAAAACGGTATTATTTGATATTCAAATACAAAAAAACAAACGGTAGTTAACAAAATTAAGTCGGTCTATTTGTCATTTCATTGTTTCAGATGTTTTTTTGAAAAAAGGACCTCAAGTGGTTATCTCACAAACTGAACATTATTTTAATGATAGTGCTCGTGATTACGTGATTCGACTAGCAATGACGTCCGAATTAATTTTGGATTAATTTTTGGAATAATTTTTTACTCAGTAAATTTTCAGTCTAGCTTGTAATTTTGAAAACGCTTCCTTGGTTCCGTGAGTTTAATCAAAGGATGCCCGATGTAAACCTACTTTTTCAAAATTATATTACATGATTCTGTGCGCTAAATCTCGCACGTCTCATGGATTCAGTAATCGCAAGAGGTGGTTACAACGGGTTTTTTCAAGCACCAAATTCACACAGTTCACAACCCAAATGGCAATAATACGGACAAGCTAAATCCCTTGTAAACCTTACAGGCGTTTAAGTGAAACAAAATCCTGTTATTTCGAACTGTCCGGCTGATTTATGGACACTTCTTTCGGTCCGGAGCACATTTTTGTTCTTCTAACTCTCGTTACGATAGGCACTGAACAGCATCTTTCAACATCTGGACACAAATGAAAAAGAAATAAAATATTCTATACTTTGTTGGTCATATTTTAATATGTGTTTCTTTTTACTGAATTGAGATTCTGGCTTCCATTGCGCATCAATCAGAATTGTTGTAAATATAAATTCACGTAGCTCTCTAACATAATGTTTTCTAAAGGAAATTCATTTCGTTCCCCGCTCTATTACAGATGTTACTAGAACGAGGAACGGAGAACGGGGAAAGGGGAACGGGGAACGGGGAGCGGGGAACGGGGAACGGGGAACGGGGAACGGGGAGTGGGGAGTGGAGAACGGGAAAATAAAAAAATGGGAACAACGCAGAGAATTGGAAATGAAGTTACTGATTGGGCCAGGGTTCAACTTCAAGTTCGATTTTGTTCCCATCTTTCATTTTCCCGTCTCCAGCCAAGATCGTTCCCCGTTCCCCCCCCCCCCCCCCCCATTTGAGTAACATCCCTCTATCTCGGATTAACAGGGTCCCGGGGGTGCTCCACGGAGTATCGAGATTTGACTGTACGTGATGTACTGAATGCAAAAAGCCATTTTCATTTCCTAATATGCAGGGTGTTTACTTAACATTGTAGTTCTTATCAGGCAATGCGAATCTGCAAACACTTTTCATGAAAATTCAATTTCTACTACGTTAATTAATCAACCAGCAAATGGTTTTTACTTAAGCTAATTGTATTTGTATGCGTAAACTAAAGTTAATCGTGATAGTCTGGAAAACGATTAATAATTAATAGAAGACCCGAAATCGACGTTTGTGCCGAACAGCCAAGTCAGCCAGGACCTGTTTTATTTTATTTTATTTTATTTTATTTACGGAATAACGATAGATTGACGACTGCAATGATTTGGCAACAATGTGTCTCTATGCCGTGACTGGGTTTTGTGAAAACGACTACGGTGATTTTGAATATTCAGGGAAAATGGCCCCTTTGTTTATCACAAAAAAAACTGTTATCAAAGTTCTATTGATAACACACATTTCCGCACATTTTAAAATTTGTCTGCGATTTGTATTTAATTAGGACCGGATATTGCCTTTGAAAATGGACATGAGCTGACGCCAAACTTTAATGAGTTTAGGAAACAAACCCTCCACTTTGATAAAAGGCTAATAACCTCACGTTCGTTTCAGTTGCGGCGATAACCTGCCTATTCCTCCATGAAAAATGTTTAAAATTTCCGTTCGTTACCTGATTCAATAAAGTCTGACCGAAAAACCTTTCACACATACCGCGATGTAGGGCTACACTCAAAACTCCTTGTGGGCACTGTTGACCGTTCTTCGCCTAGCGGAAAAACAGTTCATTTAAAAACAACCTTAGATGACAGGATATGACAGGCCATTCAATGAGTCATACAAAAAGAAGAAGAAGATGTAGGGAACTAGGAAAAATACGAGGAATTTGAGGAACATGTGATTCCCTAGCTGTATTTGGCTCATGTCATCGTTTGCATACCTTAGAGTTTAAATCATTTCGCATAAAAGCTACTGAGCGCCTCTGAGCCGTATTCGACGGTCGTGCTTTTGATCATGGTTTTGAACTTAGTGGTAAAAATCTTCAAGTATGACCATTCAAATGCAAGCTACTGAGCAGTTTCACCTGCGATACTGCATGCTTATTATGCTGTACAAATGGATTCTAACTTTGAATTCTGTACACGAGATCCTCACTTAAACTACCAGAGGCTAAGAAATTTAGCAACACAATACGTTTCTTCAGTCAAAAGCGTTCTTAAGACGAAACGTATCTTTATGTGAAAATTTTACACGAGATTTTGCGTCTAAATTTTTCTCCATTTTGCATATTTTTCATTATTGACAAAGCTGGCAAAACCTTTTTCGTTTTCTTCCAGGTTTTATGACCAGTGAACGTGTGACAAACTAAATCTGGTGTTTTTCCTACATTTTAATTTTAACTGCTGTTGGCAGTGATATGCATAAAACGGTTTAACCAAATCACCTCCGGAGAGGGAAGTCATAGTAGATAGGTGACAATAGGTGACAATCAGAGGGCGAGGCATCTCATTAAAATAAGAGATAAAAGCAATGGTCGATTTACTATTCAAGCACATGCGTTTGCAACAACTAACTCACACTTTCATGAAATGATGGACAAGTCGAATGGTCAGTTCCTTGTTAAAGCATGAAACAAGAAAAGTTAAAAGTAACGCGTTATTCGACGTTTCGATGTTTCTAACATCATCATCAAGAACGAATTGTAACAAAGATGTCGTAAGAGAAAAGGTTCGCGCCAATCGAGTCTAATAACACGTTCGGCGATGGACAAGTTGAGTTTGAACCACTGCTCTTGTCGCGCCACAATAAAATTGCCCGCGTAAACGATTTTGTCAGTTTTTTTTTTGACTGAGCAGGGTATGAAGAATTGATGCTCAGTCTTTCACTCACTGTTACTGCTCCCTTGTATGTATGAAGTGTTGCATCGTATGTTTGAACTCGCTAAAATGACTAACCTCTAATTATTTCTTGGTATTGTGACTATTATCCATTGTGAACTGATTCTGCAGATCTTTGTATCTTTTAAGCTCCTGAAGGGAAACGGAAGGAACAAGAGCATCTAGCGCTTTCTGAAAATCTGCTTCAGTCACTTGTATCTCGCCGCAATCGTCGGGAGACGAATGTCCTAAACAGAGACGGAAAGGACAGTCTTTAAGACAGTGAGACACAGTTAAAACAGTCTAAAAAAGTAACGTAAACATTAGGATTTTTGCGATGACAGAGAGAGGACACAAAAAATTTTCAAAGTCACTTGTGACTATCCGGCCCGAGGGGATCAGACCAGTTCAAAAAGTGTCATTTTTCACACCCGTTTTCAGACCTGGCATCTAGGAAATTGTGTCATCATTACTTAGAGAAGAACGCCAACAAAAAAGATCTCTTAAAACCCACTACGAATTCGCATAATCCTCTTTCCTTCTTATTCATTTGGAACTGGAAACGACGATAAATACTTTCATACCGTCCCGTAGTTTTCTCGAAAACCATACCGGATTCCAGACCAAAGTAGGCAAAGTCTATGCCCGTTTTCAGACCAAAACGGCGAAAAAACCACACCCTTTGGGGCGGCACATACCTATATGGCTTGTATAAGGGAACACCCCCCACCCCCCACCACCTCGGGCTATCCGGTATTGTGTGAACATATCCTTAGTTTCGGTTTACTTTCGGCAAACAACGAAAGTCATTCGGCAAACAACGAAAGTCATTCGGCTAACAACGAAAGTCATTCGGCAAACAACGAAAGTCATTCGGCTAACAACGAAAGTCATTCGGCTAACAACGAAAGTCATTCGGCAAACAACGAAAGTCATTCGGCAAACAACGAAAGTCATTCGGCAAACAACGAAAGTCATTCGGCAAACAACGACAGTCATTCGGCAAACAACGAAAGTCATTCGGCAAACAACGAAAGTCATTCGGCAAACAACGAAAGTCATTCGGCAAACAACGACAGTCATTCGGCAAACAACGAAAGTCATTCGGCAAACAACGAAAGTCATTCGGCAAACAACGAAAGTCATTCGGCAAACAACGAAAGTCATTCGACAAACAACGAAAGTCATTCGGCAAACAACGAAAGTCATTCGACAAACAACGAAAGTCATTCGACAAACAACGACAGTCATTCGGCAAACAACGAAAGTCATTCGGCAAACAACGAAAGTCATTCGGCGACGATCTGTTGAGAATCACGCTACAGGTGCAGCAACGCATCAGTCTAGGGTAAAATTTGAATTGCCTTGGCAGTGTGAACACTACTGCAGAACAACACCCCCTTTTCAGGGTGACATTACAGTTCAAAAATAACTCCAGGGTTTGTAGAGAAGTAGTAGTTTGTCAACCCCTTCTGGTAGGTACCTAGGCGAGTAAAGAATACAGTCTCACCTCCCGTTAGCGACCAGCCAAAAAGCGAAGACTTAGTGGTCGCTTACGGGTGGCGGTCGCTTACAAGAATCGAACCACAGGGGTCTCTTCCAAGAAGAGGCCCGGACATTTCTCCTTGATGGTAGATAATTTATTGCATGTGTAGTTACATGTTGTAATTAAGGTCTTCGTACACTCTGAGAGCACAAAACGCAGAGCCAACAAACATCAGACCACCATGCGTAAAGTGGTCGGTTAAAAAAGGTTAAAATGAAACTGTCAGCCCCGAAAAGTGGTCGCGGTCGCTTACAGGAAGTGGTTGTTAACGACAGGTTCCAGAGGTAAGGCCTTGACTGGGAAAAGTTTAGCGTTTTGGACGGTTGGTCGTTTATGGGAGGTGGTTGCTTACGCGAAGAGGTCGCACATGGAGATTCGACTCAGGTATAAACGGCTGTTTACAATTCGGAATACTATTATCATACCTTGTTCAAGGATCTCAATCTTTCTTTTGACAGACTGTAACATTGCATCTGAACACAAAGCATAAAAGTCTGCCCCGGTCAAGTTCGCAGGACAAAGGGCGGCCACCTTTTCTAACCGCAAATCGGGATCCAAACAAAACCTGTTAGAAAAGAACGAAGGAACTTTACATTCTCAACAGATACATTGACATATCGCTCTGTTGTCCGGGACATACATAGCAGGTTCAAGAGGGATCTCATTTAACCTTTCCCCTCTACCTCAAGTTTACCCAAGAGAATTTGAATTGTGCACAGGATTAAATTGATAAGAAGTTGGAATGTCTAAGTATCTGAAGTATCATCAGATCTACTGTTCTGTCTACCACATCGACTAAAAGATATGCTTTTCGATTATCTAATAAACAAGTTCCCTTTCTTAAGCGTGGTATAACGTATTTTTTCTACGAATAAACCCCATGAATATATTATTTAAAAAATTATTGGAAACATTCCAAAGGGGGTCCAAGGTTTTTCTAGTTTTTCTGTACTGATTAACCCGCTCTGCATGTACTTTAATAACAGCTTTGTGCTAAGTAACAGTGGCAGATCTGGGGGAAATGGGGGCAAGGATGGGGTTTGGGGCAACGCCCCCCATTTTACCATAAACTAAACCCGTGTGTGCAAGAGTCTTAGTTTCTGTCAGAAGGTGCCTCTCGGCCCTCCACCAACTTAACGCAAAAGTAAGGTCAGGATACGCGCCGAGTACTTACTTTCTGGTCAGAGCTCTAAGAATGTTCAGTTGTGATTCACGGTCTTCGCTGACTCCAAGATAAAGGAGTTTATCAAACCTTCCAGGCCTCAACAGTGCTGGGTCCAGAAGGTCAGGTCGGTTTGTGGCCCCAATGACAAACACGTCACAAGCCTTGTGAAGCCCGTCCAGCTCCGCTAACAACTGGGACACAACTCTAAGGGACAAACAAAGAAGGAGCACAACATTTAGACACGGCTGGGCATCCAATGTTGGCTTAACTACAGAATTCATTACCACACCAAAACATTGCACGCAGCTGTCTTTTTAATCACTGATCAAAAAACTAACTGGAGAAATGTGTTCATATTGGAGCCCGTAACCAGGAGGTGGTGACTTACTGACTAGGCCTATTTCATAGCGTTTTCACGAACCGGTTTATTTTCTAAGAGCACGTTCAGAGCTCCGTTTTGCTGACTGAATTGTACAGGTAGGAATAAAAGATATTCTAGACTAGCTCCAAACCACTTTTAAAATACATGGAAAATGGTCGTCGAAAACGGCGTTACAAGAGTACATGAAAGTTACTCGCTTGGGCAAGGTTATGGGTTCCTTGTTCTACCTGTCCATGACACCACCGGAGTCCCCACTCCTCCCCCTGTTAGGGGCCAGCGAGTCCAGCTCATCAAAGAAGATCACACATGGTCGAGCACTCTGCGCACGCGTGAACACTTCACGGACGTTCTGTTCACTCTGACCCACGTACATGTTGATAAGCTCTGGTCCCTTTACACTGACATAAAAGAAAAAAAAACTGTGTTTTATGGTTCAGTACACGACAAAACGTGCTAGTTAAAAGTTTTATTTAGTCATAGAGCATCGCATTATCTTATTTTAAGATTGAGTTCACAGGATCAGAGTCAGAAATCTGACCACAGAATTAGACGTCTTTGAACCCTAATACGCAAGCGTACTCTCCACACTTACGCATACACTGTACATTTCTTATAAACCTGATGGGGAGAATTTATTCATCAATCAAGATCCTTTTTCACTTTCTGATTTTATATCTGCTATGTTTGATCTTTGATGAAACAGTGTCGTTGTGTCGTTGTAATAAAAATCTTTAGCTACCAATCACCCTGAGGGCTTAAGGGATTACCATCAAGGCAAAAATGCATTTACCGACTTCCTTTAAATTGGAAAGCATGTGTAAAAAAACAATTTAATAAATTTCTTACAGAGTACGCACATTAATCAAAATGAAGCTCCTTCATTTTGCTTACCCAAGCAGGACGATGTTGCTTTTGAAGATTAGCAAATATCTGACAAAATTTTGAAGGAATTCAAAATGGCATCTGCACTTGTGAAAAATGTTCCGTAAAAAAAAAAACAGTAGATAAACAGAATTCCTAGTGTATATGTGGGTCCCAAAATAAGTACAACTTTCTTTACCAGCTGTATAATCTACCGATCAATGGAAAAGACAAACAAACAAACAAAAAACAAACACAAGGAAATGTACACATTGCAGACCTATAATTTTTAATAGGGTGAATACCTGAGAAAGTTCAATGAGCATTCTGTAGCAACTGCTTTGGCCAGCAAAGTTTTCCCAGTCCCAGGTGGCCCATACAACAAAACACCTGTAAAAACAATTCACTTGTCAAGTAAAGCAGCCAATCTATTTTCAGAGTCGTGAAAAAATAGATCAGAATATGACAGTTCTGTTCCTTAGCCATCTCAGACAACTGAAATCTACAACAGCCTTAAATATTCACAGAAAACTGATTATTATTCATTCAAAATATTTCTCTGCTTCTGATTGGCTTAAATTCCATGGCAAATTATTCATAAACAGCTAGTGTTGACCAAATTTGGAAGACGTTTGTGAGATGTGGAAAATGATGTTAATAGGGCAGCATAAATGCCACAAAAAATGGATGTTTTGGTAGAGTGTACAAAATGGCAGAACATTTCACACATTTTGCGAAGAAGAAATAGCAGAACTACTGCCTATAAACATAGCAAGAGCAACAAGAATACAACTCGACAGACGACTGTTTTGGAGAATTTCTGCCAAGCTAAACATCCCTTATTTTCTGAACTTTCCGAGAAACAAGCAAATGAAGAGGGGAACTTAACATCAATCCATATAGGCATGTTTTAGCTTGATTTTAAAGCACAAAATATTTTGAATAAAGAATAAAAAAAATCATCTACCTGATCTCCTTAGCCCAGCAGCAAACAGTTCAGGATGCTGCAGAGGTAACTGGACTGTGTCCAAAATTGCAGCCTTCACTTCAGCCAAGCCTCCAACATCGTCCCATTTAACACTTGGAATCTTGGGAGCTCCAATGGCATCTGACATTGAAGACTGGAGGACATCCAGCGAATCCTCAAAATCCTGATTGCAAAGTTTGATGCCCATTGAGCTAAGCTCTTGCTCCTGTTGCCATGGAAACCAGGTCTGGCCACGGTTTTCTGCTGTACTGTACCCATTCAACAAGCGCCGTGTAGCAGCTCTTGAGGCATAACTAAAGAGTGCAACAAAATCTGCCAGCACTAATCCTGCTGTTCTTTTGGCCAACTGCTCAAATGACACATCATTCCCGACAAAAGCCATGCCCCCCAATCCACCCAGCATGTCATATCGTTCACTCTCAGTGGGTGCCTCAAGTTTCACTTCATGAAGGAAACAAGAATACATGTCAGAAGTGATGTCATTTGGAAAAGATGAAGTTGCTATGACAACTACTGGCCAATCAGTGTTGTCCTTAAGGTTGTTGATGCAGTTCATCAAAGTGGCAGCTATCCTTGGTTCATCCTCATTTCCCTCTCTGTCTTTTCCAAGAGCATGGATGTTTTGTAACAGCATGATACAGGGAGAACTTAGAATGGCTACAGAAGGAGGAAAAAAAGATCAGCCTTAATTTATACAAAGTTAATTATCACTAAAATTTATTAATTATTGAATGTGTTATGAACTTGTTCTTTGCTATATTGTGCTCATAAAAGAAGACTCTTTACTCGCTGTCTTTACACTAGGCTGTTAAGTAAGACTTAAGAGAGCTAGGTTTTACTTAACCAAAAATTTGTGTGAGAAGGCCTAAGTAAAATCTGAAGTAACTTTGCTCTGCATCTCATTAAAGTCGGAAAGTTGAAACGATCCAAGAAAGTTTCAAGCGACTTGAAAAACATCCTTATGACTGACTTAGCTGACTTGCAGTTTTGCGGTTTCTTGAGCTTTGAGAAAAGCGAGACATGTCAATCAATCTTAATTTTGTTGTGTGGGAAAATAACCTGAAGTAAAAAAGAATCGGTTGTGTGTGAAGCTTTATTTTACTTGAAGGAATTAAAATTTACTTGTCCTGAAATATTTCTTAGCTTATTTAGGCTCTGGTGAAAAGACTACCACTGTTTCAGGAATGTACCATACTGAGACCAGGAAATCTTTTTTCCCTTTATTTTTCCATAAAAGCATGTTCATTTTCTTTTCATTTTTTCTTTTCTACAGACTGCAAACAAGACTATATACATGGCCTGCTCAGTTGACCCTGGCATTACAACTGCAATAATTATAGCGACTTTAATAAGAAGAAAACAAAACAAGGGAAAACAAGGCAGCATAGCATTTTAGGGGAGCAGGGATGGCGCCGTGGTGAGAGCACTCGCCTTCCACCAATGTGGCCCGGGTTCGATTCCCGGACTCGATGTCATATGTGGGTTGAGTTTGTTGTTGGTTCTCTTCCCTGCTCCGAGAGGTTTTTCTCCGGGTACTCCGGTTTTCCCCTCTCCGCAAAAACCAACATTTCTAAATTCCAATTCGATCCGGAATGCTCGAGCATTTAATACATGAGCCCTGGGCTCGGGAGATTGGGCAACCACTCCTCACGCTATCGAGCTTAAATAAAATTAATTTAATTTTATAGAGACCTTTCTGGAACAGGTTCTTCAACCTTGCCTCTGTGGCAGCTACTGACTCTCCAATCAGTTCGTAGCAACTGACTCCCAAGAAATGCACGTTTAACTTTCTACTTGTTGCTCTAGCAACTGTCCTTTTACCAGCTCCAGGGGGACCAGACAGAAGAATCCCACATGGAGAAAGAGGTTTTTTGTCACTGAAAAATGTAACAAAACAGAAAAAGTATTGTTAACTCATCACGTTTAAATAACAGATAACATTACTTGATGTAAGGACATGAATAGCAGTGTCATAAAACAAAGAGGTAATGACTACAGCTGTAGATGAATTTTCTTTCAAATCACAGCTCTTTGAATAGGAACAAAACATTTTGAACGTTCTTATACAAATCACTGAAGTAAGGCCTTTTTGATTAAAAATACTGACGTTACCAAATTTTGAAAACATTACACAGACAATTTGCACAAAAATGTTGGCAAAAACATTGCCCAAGAATAAAAAAAGTCCGCTTTCGGTTGACGCGTATCGCTCAAAAGCACCGTTGCATAAGCTCCCCAATGTCTCAGACTTAACCCATAATCAGTAGAATGCTTTTGGTTTTGTAATACAGTGTATACAGTGTATGTTGTGGTTCAATTTTATTCTTGGTTCAAATTTTATTTTCCTTTGTTTTAAACAGTCTCATTATCATACATTAGCATACCCCAAAACAAAGGGAAATAAAATTTGAACCAAGGATAAAATTGAACCACAACATATACAATAGACATTAATAATATGTTTGTACACAAGATTGTTCACCTTGAATGCAAGTAGGGCTTCACAAGATTCTCTAATATATCTGTATAAGTTCTTAATCCTGCAGGAGATATTTGCTCCCAGTAACTTGCTCTTAAATCATAGGAACGCTTTCCCCGGCTAATTGATGATGTCAAGGCGGATGGTATGTAACTGTGTACAGAACCTCTCTGTCAAAAAAGTAAAAGATAAAAACATGAATACAAACTTCTCGCAGTGGTAATTGAAAGTAATACACAAAGCAGAGTATCCTAATTCAAAACAATTCTTTACTTGGTACCTACAATGATCTTCCTCTTTTGTATAAGTTGATTTATTGATGGTATGCATTTACTTACTTGATACAAAGAAGTGTGCTCAACGTCAACAAAACAGGAATTGGCTTCACTGCTCCCACAGACGAGGCGTGTCACTTTAAAGTAAACAACAAGATCCCTCTGCCACTGATCATCACTTGTACTAGCCATCTTCTGAGCATCAGTGTTTCTTTGCCAATCATGATAAACAAAGAATACATCTCCTACAGTTAGGATCCTTGGCACTTTGAAATATGACATCAGTGCACCATCAAATGACTCTCCAACTTTGTAATAAGGTGAGTGTATCAGCGCAATGTGAGCTTCTGTAGCAAATGGTGGTTTTCCACTTGTGCTTTCAGTATTTGATTCTCCATTGGGAAGAGCTGTTGCATTGAAGTTTGGAGAAATGTAAACAGGAGGATGATCATTCACATTTGGTGTGATTTTACCAAACAAATTAAAGTAGAGTAAGGGTGCAATATACAAAACTCTATCTTCAACTTCGTCACTGTTTATTAATGAGGAAATGTTTGTAGTGGACTCATCATCAACAGCCACAAGTTGAACAAGATGATACTTGATCTTTGCGTAAAATCTTTCATCACAATATTTTTGCTGGCTAATAGTCATTGATTCTGAATCTTGCTCCTCTTGCTTATCATGCACATGTAAATCTGTCGAATCCCTGTAAATTTTGACCCAACTGCCATTGAACAAGCACAAGTCAATCAAAGTTTCCACTGACACATAGACCCTACTGGATACACCTTGACACAAATCTAAATAATTCATTTTATCACTATTAAAAACGCTCACTCTGAACTGATGTGTTTTTTCCTGACTTGTTTTCTCATTAGGCTGATCATGATCACATAGTTGACCTTGGGTTATAAGGTTGCGAGTGAAGTCAGAGACAAGGAAGGTTTCAAGAGAATCAGACAACAATACCAAAGACTCTGTTTCGCTGATTTTAGAGGCAGGTTGAATTTCAGTCTTTTCCAGCTTTGTGATGACGAGACATGTTTCTGATGTGACACAGCCCTGAGACACTGGCTCATTCTGTAGTATTAATACCTCAGAACCTTCTTCCTTCTCGCCAGTTACTTGATCATTATGAAAACAGAGGATATCATTTTCCCTTACTGTTATAGGACCTGATGGCAAACTTTTAAGTAGAGACGATGCTAAGGACGACTGCGCCCACAAATATGTCTCTTCTGAGGAAATCCCGACTACAACCCTTTGCAGCGGAATTGGATTCACTTTTTTCACCCAGACAGTTTTGCCAACATATAAATCACGACTTTTAAGCACGTTCTCCGAAAGGAGGACCTTTAGATTTCCTCCAGATTGTTGAACTTCTTTATCCGATGACCGGACGTTCAATATTAGATCTCCCTGTGGGTCGGAACCTTCCAAAGACGTTTTTACCGCTACCGCAAATCTTTCCCCCGGAGAGTTAACAAAAGTGGAGTCACTATTACTTGAAGAGATTATGCCTTCAGTGAACGGGAGGTTAGAGGATCGTAAAGTGTTGCAATCCTGGCGTGAAAGCTTGCAAATTGTGCCCCTTCGATAGGCTTCGTCGGCCATGTTCTCTCCTCTGTGGCCTGGCCTTGCCATACAGCCTGGCCTTTTGACCGGCTGACTTAAAACCCAGGTTACATTACTGGTGTGCCTTTCTTTGGGAAAACCCTCGTACGGTCGTAGATGTACATGTGTACGGTATTTTAAATTGGACATCCAACGTTAATTTTCATATGAACATGTTTTTGTTTTCACGATGCTTTGCTATTTTACAAATATTGGAAAGATAATGATGTAGAGTCTTCAAGCATTCGCATACAACTGTCAGCTTACGTAACTCCCGTAGACACCTACAATCTACAGCTAGTAACAAGATGTCCGGAAACGAGTCACATGAAAGCTTACAAGGACAAGAAATTACCGAGCCTCTTCTTCAAGAAAACCCCAATAGATTCGTTCTTTTTCCTTTAAAGTTTCCCGACATTTGGGAATTTTACAAGAAATCGGTTGCCTCCTTCTGGACCGTGGAAGAAGTCGATTTGGAGAATGACTTGTTGGACTGGGAAAAACTTAACTCTCATGAAAAGCAGTTTATTTCTCATGTTTTGGCTTTCTTTGCTGCCAGTGACGGAATAGTTGGCGAAAACTTAGTAGAAAGATTTTATCAAGAAGTACAAATCCCTGAAGCGAGATGTTTTTATGGTTTTCAAATTGCAATGGAGAACATTCACTCCGAGATGTACTGTCTGTTGATTGACACTTTCATACGAGAACCCGAGGAAAAACAGAAGCTTTTTAATGCCATTGAAACTTTTCCCTGTGTCAAACAAAAAGCGCAGTGGGCGTTTAAATGGATGGATAAAAATGGAAATGCCTCTTTTGGAGAAAGACTTGTTGCTTTCGCGGCCGTGGAGGGGATTTTCTTCTCAGGAGCATTTGCATCAATTTTTTGGCTTAAGAAAAGGGGTTTGTTGCCAGGGCTTACTTTTTCCAATGAGCTCATCTCAAGAGATGAAGGCCTTCACTGCGACTTTGCTTGCCTTCTTTTTTCACATTTGAGACAAAAGCCAAGCAGAGACCGTGTGAATGAGATTATATACGAAGCCGTGGCTATAGAGAAAGAGTTCTGGACAGGTGCTCTACCTTGCCATTTGCTTGGCATCAACTGCAATTTAATGGGCAAATACATTGAGTTTGTGGCTGACCACCTTCTAGTCGAGTTAGGATTTGAAAAGAGTTACAATGCCGACAATCCCTTTCCTTTTATGGAAAATATATCTTTAGAAGGCAAGGCTAATTTCTTTGAGAGAAGGGTTGCAGAGTATCAAAGAAATGGTGTGATGAATGAGAAATGGGAGAATTTTGTGTTTACTACAGATGCTGAATTCTAATTTGTAACCAGTCTTATTGCCATTAAATTTTGGTCATTGTTAGCCTGCGAGCAAGCTCTCCTATTTGGGCGAGTGAAGCGATTCTCGAGAAAACGCGCAAGCAAGCGGCCAAGCGGCGAGGGGCAGAGGAAAGGAGCCTCGGCCCCTCGCTCGCGCATTCTCGTGAGGCTCACTTCGCTTGCCCAAATAGGAGAGATTGCTCGCAGGCTAGTCATTTGTCATCTCATGCTGACTGTTGTCAAATCATGCATGTATAGGTGTTAAAAAGAAACAGAACAAAACAACAAAATAAAGTTTTGTTAAGTAATCTTTTTCAAATAATAAAGGTAAAAAAGGTGAAAATATCTTAAATTGTTTTGATGGTTTCTTTTGGCAAAGTGTCAGTCATTTAATTATTTTTCAAAAAATTAAGATTTATTTAGTGCACTTAAGTGACTAGGAGGTGCGTTTGTGGCAAATGAGGACTATCAATAGAAAAATTCTGTTAAGGTTCACTATACATAAAAGCCGTATTCCAAGTGATGGTCTCTGCTAAATCATTGATCAAGTAAACTCAAGTGTTACTCACCCACCCTTCCCCTGCTTCCCTTTCTTGCCCTCCCCACCTACCCACAAGTCTACAGCTCGTTCCCAGACTACTCAGAGCAGAATTTTCAAAATGGCGGCGGGAGAGGGAGAGGCATTTCCTATCTCTTGCATTGGAATGTTAGAGTCACCTAGCCCGTCTTTACAAAACAGCATCAAATTTTCATACAGTGGAAGATACTTCAGTGCACTGTTCGATTTCGGAGTTGTCCAAGTTTGTCAATTGAAAGGTAAAATTGGGAGGATTGGTCGAGGCAATTGAGTTTCAGGTGTCCGATAAACAGAAAAATCGTAGAAAGAAGTGTTTGTTATGTTAGCAGTTTCATGACACAGTCCTTTCGCTAAACTGCAGTTTAGTTGAATATTATATAAATTAGCTAGTCGTTTTCTATGTTTGTAGGGTAGTGAAACACAGGCCTTTAGCTTGCAGTTCGGCCATCATTGTCGCGTTTGCAACCACACGTGATAATTAAGGCGACCATATTGGCTGACAAAACAGTACAAACTTTTCGCAGAGTTTTAAAATTCCCACCGGAGAAATGTTTTTCTTGTCAATAGACATGACCACCATGATATCAGCTGTAAACCACCAACTGAGATTTTTGATCTGGGAATTGCTTTTTTGAGTTTGAGGGCTGGGTTTTTAAGGCAAAATGGGGACAAAATTCTGGATTGAATGCAGTGGCGGACCCAGGGGAGGGGCCCGCCCCTTATTTTAAAATCAACCTAAGGCTTGGCCTGAAGGGCCGAAAAAATACATTTTTTGCAATCGGCCACCCTTTCATCTCAGGGTCTGGATGACTGCCCCCTCCCCTTATCTAAAGGTCTGGATCGACTACTGAAATGTACCATATTTCCTCCAATAAAACCCATCGCTTGATTAATCGCCTTCCTCGAATAATCCCTCCCCCTTTGACAAAAAATAATTGCTTCCCGCAAGGAAGTTACTTTTGAGGTGAAGCAATTTCTATATATTCTTTTTAGTCCTTCCAGATGATTTTTATACACTTCATAGCTGTCCCTTCTCCCAAAATGTTAAACTTACTAGTAACAGTCTTGCGACTTTGTTGTGAGCTTCAGGAGCAAGGGTGGTGCAGTGGTGAGATAAACTGTTCACAGTCGCCTATTTTCCCAAGGGATCATCGAGATTGAGCGCTTTGCGTTACGGGCTGCCATCTTGCATGAGTGTCAAAAATACTTAGGGGGCAGGGGAGATCACTCACCACCCACCAATGTGGCTTGGGTTCGAATTCTGGCATCGATGCCATGTGGGTTGAGTTTGTTGCTGGTTCTCTCTCTCTTGCTCTGAGAGGTTTTTCTCTGGGTTCTCCTGTTTTCACCTCTCTTTAAAAACCAACACTTTCAAATTCCAATTTGATCTGGAATGCACCGACACGTTTCAACAAGCTGAGAACAACTAAGAACTCCTAAGTGTATTGTGGGTAAACAAATAATTTTACATTTTTTGTTACAATTTGATGACCTATCTCACACTCTCATGAGTTGGCAATATTGATTTCTCACTCTTTCTCGAAAAGTCACACTCCAATAAACTTTTGCAGCAGCTATAGGCTATGTGTCCAAGTAAGATACATGGATATAGTAAACTCAATCCAAAGAAAACACCTAATGATCTCATTTAATTACCTGGTAGTAAAGGCGTGAATTGCCTAATTGGTGCATTGTTTACATTCTTCATACTATCGTGACTTGCCACTGCCACCAAATGCACAGACGTCTTTGTAGTTTTGTCATGCAAATTAGTCTGGTATAGAGTATAGAAATCAGAGGATTTTGGTATACAGTGAGGTTATGGGAAATGTACGTTGGGCTGCGCTGGCTAGCTTGGCATTGCTACCATGTAGTGGTGGGTGGGAAATTACTTCTGTTTATTTCGTTGTTTTTAATTTGGCTAAGTACGCTTTTGGGAATAATGTTGTAAAAAGTTGAAGTGAAATGAAGAAAACTTTCTGCTTTTGCATCCTAGATATTGATGATAATTTCACGGTTACTCCAGTAAAAAGGCTCACATTTGACAAAGGTGAACACCTTGAAAGCCATACCTGGTCTAGCAATGATGAGATTTTTGCAGTGGCTGGACACAAGATCTATCTGTTTGAAGTAAGTCCATTGGAACAGTTAAATATTTTTGATATTACCTCCTGAGATGGGTGACTGTAAAGGTCATTTTGTTTATACACCAGGTGTGGAAGTTTCCACTAATATATTTTTTTATTAATGGAAACTTTATCAGGGGTCTTCCTCTAAAATTACCATTAGCCTGTGAACAGGCAAAAAGAGTATGGGCAAAAAAAGAGCAAGTGATCTACGTTTCTCCCTTCCTGTCTGCTCGTGCTTTCTTGCTAGAGAACCTGATTAATACTAAGGTTAAGTGACAATGACAAAGTTTCTTGCCGGTGGGAAATAAGGTAGACCTACAGCTGTAGTATATACTTTATGGTTAATGAGCTAGATTACCCTAAAATGCCTCTGCACTTTCTACTTTTATTTGAGAGATTCATCTTTTTATAACCATGTATATAAACTCCGTTCTCCTGTTCATGTAAGTATTAAGTTCCTAGTTTTGAATCTTCCAAAAACAAACATAACTCATCTAAGCCATCTTGACAAGCTTATCATTCAAAGCTGGTAAAGCATTTGCCTTTGTTGCAAGAATGTAGATTCTTTGGCTGCCAAATTTACATTATTTTAATGTTTCCACTAGATATTTAACTGTAGTTGCACTTAAGGTAGTTCTTCTGTTTTCTGGAGTTAAAATGGTGATGTGTGGGTGTGTGTTTTTTTGCACTCCACTGAATGCAATAATTATTACAGTCAAACTGGCAAAATCTTGAACACTTAGAATACTTTATTTTTAGGAATGTTTATTTTGTTATGACCAATCACAGTAAAGATTAGGACGTGTGAACTAGCCACAAAACCCCCAACTATTAAATGTTCTTGCTTGTGGTTTAGTTTCGGACACCCGATTGGCTTTTTTCTTGTAACACAATAACATTCCAGAAATATTTATGGTGTTCACTGAGTTTTCTTGGTTTGCCATTTTGACTGTAAAGAATTAAAGTTGAGAAGTTGTTCTGCCTGATTGCATTAAACACAATACAAATATTGTGAGAACAGTAATATGCATTTCAAGAAAACATTTACAAATCTGCAAATTATGTAACTATTTTGTGCAGAAACTTTTATTTGTGGATTGTAAAAAAAATGCAAAGTCAGAGAAAACCATAATGCAACACAGTTTTTACTAATGTGACTATTATATACTGCAAAGTGAATAGTGTTTTTTTGCGTATGCTGTTTGGCTAGCATGAAAGTGACCAATTACTTTTCACCTCCAAGGAGATGAAAAGAAATGGAAAAAAATAACATTAAAGACCTGAACTCTGGACACTAAGACTGGTGTAGTCTACGCAAAGGACATGACACACAACAAAAAGGCAGCAATTGACAGGATAAGCTTATAAAATCTGCCAGAGCTGTGGGCACTAGGAACTCCACTAACACAAGGCTTAGAAGCAGGTTCAGTATATGTCATATCCAGGAACCTCTTAAAGCTTCCTGGGAAATCAGTGAAATAGCCATCAATCTGGGTATTCAAGAAGGTTTGATATTCATTGTAAGGATCCTGACTGTAATTCCAGGCCAAATACTTGTTTTCATTTCTGAATGTAAATGCGTGGACCTTCAAGTTGTTGTTGTGTGCATTAGTGACAAAATCCGTGGTACTTTGTAGATTGTTTTGATCGACTGGAATAATAATATTCTTCCATACACCAATACCAGAACAAATACTTGAAAGATTTTTCATTTTATCCTGCTCATTTGGTGGTCTGTACTCATATAACATCACCAAAGGTAACCTTGTTTTTGTTGACAAAGACCTGATGCCTTCTTCACTGAATGACTGGACAAAACACAGGGCATCTTTCTCACGATATCCATTATTATGCAGTACCTCAACAAAGAGATCTTCAAAGGTGGTGTTAGCATGGCGGATAATATCCAGAGAATTGATCCACTCTGGACTCTTGAGCTCAGGGTAAATTCCAACCTTTCTGTCTGCAGATTTGGCAACTCGAATGTATTCTTCAAGTGTAGGTATCTGGTACATGTCATCAAAACTATGATCTCTGAAAGGGTACTTTTGTCTAACGCGGATTGTCTTAAGCTCTTCCAGGGTGAGATCAACTGTAAAGATATCTGTGACAGTCTTGTTTCGGATGTCACCAGATGCTGGTATATTATAAGTCTTCACTCTTGATCGGAGTGTTTGATTTTGCCATATATTCGTCGTTTCATTCAACCAGCTCTCGTGGCGACAAACAAGTTTTAGGTCCTTGGTGATGTAGACGTCACATTCAATGAAGTCGGCCCCTTCCTTGATAGCTAACCTTTAGGAAAAAAGGAAAAGCAAAAAACCTTTAGAGAGATGTTCCCACATACATTAGCTTAATTTAATGCACCTTTCCATTGGTTTTAAACAGGTTATTATTTTCAATAAAATGGAAGAGCAGGTCACTCACTGAGGTGCAACAGGAGGTTGACCATGGCCACAATAATTTTGACCTTCTGGTTGTAAAACAATGGAATAGTTCATTAAATCATATAATGCCCTGCTCCTTGGCATTTAACAGGGCTCACACAGTCTTGAAAAGTCCTTGAAAAGTCCTTGAATTCCATTTTTCCTTGAAAAGTCCTTAAATTTCTGTACAAGTCCTTGAAAAGTCCTTGAATTTTCTTCAACTTTGAATGCAGTGGCCTGGAAAGATTTTTCTAATGCTTTTTGGTTGTCCAAGTCAGAATATAAATCATAGCTCAGAGAATTTAAAGGTTATTTTACATCTAGTGCTCTATGCTTTATGCAATAATCAACTGACAATGTAGAGAAGTTGGTGAAGCAAGCAGTTCAAGCCTTTAAGTCTTATTAGAATAGACTGGGAAAGTGCATTTTTGTACAATCTGTGAAATTATATTCCTAGTAGGTGGTCCTCGAAAATCTAATGTGGCCCTTGAAAAGTCCTTGAAAAATGGTTGCAATTATTTTGTATGAACCCTTTTTAATATCCTTTGTACATTATGCAGATGTGATAAAGTGAAACCTCTTCTTTGGGACCCCTTATTCCAGGAGACACCTCCTGTCCATAGTTTTCTGAAATTGAAATGGTTGTTTTTGTTTTTGTTTTTGTTTTTTGTTGCCTTGCTGATGCGTTACTTAGGGCTATCATAGAATTAACTGTTTCTTATATCATAATTATGTGATTTTTAAAAGATAAATCGTTTTTACACTTTTAAATTTTAAAAAATAGATCAATATGTCATAGGAAAATGAACGCTGTATCAAATCAATCAACACTGTCAGTTCTAATCCCGAACATAAACAAAGAACGAATTTTCATGATGTGTATTAGGCTAACATGGTCGCGCGATATATTCGGAGGTAATCAACTGGCATGGTCCTTTTGGAAATGCAGTAGATCACTTTCGAAGGAGTTGGGTTGTTACTCATTCTCAACAGTTCCACAAACAAGTGTCACATTTGTATAAAGAGCAATAGTTTTAAAATATTCCAGTATACTTGACATGTATTGTTAGTTATTGTTGTTCACCTACATGTAAACAGAGCATTTGGAGTCTTAATTTTCAATGACCTTACAATGTTATATTTTAAATGCATCAAGCGTTTTCCAAATTATTCGCATCAATGATGCCGCCACAATATTGAGAAAAACGCCAATATCAGCCATTACATAATACATGTATAATCAAACGCATGCTAATCAAATCTTTCGCTTTAATTTAGGAACGGCTAAAGTAAGCCTGGCGATCTTTTTGCACGCGTTTTTTCATTAGAGTGAAGCTACTACAGGGTGAATTTGCAATTCCAAAGCGCTTTGCTTTCTATAGATATCGCCAGTCGTCAAGGTTGTTCAGTTGTTACTGTACTTCCAGCCGACGAGTTTGTGGTCAGTCTCACCTGTAGGCTTCTAGGGTGTGCTCAGGGAGTCGACCAGAGCTCCCTCGATGACCAATGTTTAAAGGTCTAGTGGTAGGTTTTTTAGCAGCAACATAAGAAGTCAGGCAGAGCAGCGTTAAAGGTACAAGTATCCACAGCTTCTTCATGACTTTCCTCGCCTTGTAGAGTGGTGAAGAGTTCAAACGGCTTGTGCGAGTCAAAATCTTGGACACTTAAGTTGATTCCGACAAGGCAATTGTGGACTAGCCAATCACTACACACAAACACCGGAAATTCCTAATGCGTTCAGTAAAAAAATAACAAAGAAATAAGTAATGTAACAGTTTCAAAGTGCACGTTGTTAACCCCCCAAATTTTGCAAAGCGATGTTTCTCAACTTCTCCTGGGTGTTACAGTCGTCCCAAGAGAAAGCAAAAACAAAGTTATGCAAGATTTTTGGGGGGAGGGGGGGCGGATATTGTAGGTCCTTGATTGGTCATATTTTGTTTTTTTTTTGAAAATATTTGTAACTCGGTCCTACTAATTGAAATGCAATGCACGAAGATACTAATGCGTTTTCGTTTACATTTCGTTGACGTTTTGCGTTTTCGCATACATTTCGATGCGTTTAGGCTTTCCGTCCTCACTAAATCGCTCAGCGTTTTTATCGAAAACGCATCGATTTGAAAGCGCTCGTGAAAGTCGGGATTTAAACGAAAAGGCGTTCATATCGTTTTTGTGTGGACGGTCGAAAACGGTCGAAAACGCATCAAAATGGAAACGATGACCAAAAATATCGCAGGCGCGTGTGTTTGTAGCATGTGCATAGAGTTCAACTTACGTCACAACTTGCAACTCTATCATTTTTGAACGTTTTACTGTGGACGGTCAAAGGTAGTTTGGACGCGAATCGGTCGGTGCGTTTTCGATGACAACGAAAACGCATACCAATGAAAACGCGTTAGTGTGGACATGTGGACAGAGCCTTGGCCTATTGTACAGGCAACAACAACAACAGGCTTTTGAGGCTTTATCTGCATGACTTTTGCAAATATAGTATTGCAAAAGCTATTTCTTGACTTGTTGTTGATAACTTAAAATCAAAATTAAAATGAAGTAAGTTCTTGCTTATTTTAAACTATTCAGTTATACTGTAGGGATTATTATTCCGTAGCTGAAATGTTTATCTCTCAATTCGAAGAATGATGAAACAATTAAAAAAAACAAATATTCATAAAATGATCAGTTAAGTTCATTAGATGCGATAATAAAGTTTCTTTTGGTAACAGTCGTGGAAATGGTACATGTACCAGGTTCTATTTTAGTGAAGAACATATCTCTTATAGAAGATTAGCTTGCACAATTTAGTAAAAAGTGAGTTTCAACTTCAATGGTTTTACAGCTACAGAGTCATAGGCATAGCTTGAATTTTTGTTCCACTATAATTGTACAAGCTTATGTAATCATTTACTATCACTACCCCCGTGGGGAAGGTACTGCCTATGATGACCTATAAGGTGAGGCTCCGCCCAAAAGCCGTAGAGGGGTACCTTTGGCAGGCTTGAGAAAGGGTCATAGGGTGGGGAAATCTGTCATTTACGTATTACAGGGTCTTAAATTACAATATGTCGAACAGACGCACCTTTTGGCAGTTTTATTTTAATTCATTAAACGCTACATTACGAAGATGCTAAGAGTGCAATGAGGTCCGCTCTAGAAACAAATTGACGATCTTCGTACTTGATTGTCAGAAGATATGACAAAGATTCCGCACCATAGTGCAGGCCGGGGCCGCACAGGACATGTGCTAGCGCTTGTAACCGTAAGTTTCATTCTTTTTGTCTTTTTTAGGTTTTGAAGGACTTTTCCAGCCTTCGCGTCATTCCGTTGTACTACATGCCAAAAGATATTTCCTTAATAATGCATCAGAATTCCTCCTCTGTCAACAAGGTAACTGCTCTATTCTTAACAGCACGCTTTCCTCATAACGGTAAACCCGGTAATTTGTCAGGTATACACAAACAGTTTTTCTGGTTAATCATGCCGTAGAAGACTATTGTAAACACGTAATTGAGAGCCCTTTTGCAGGGCTATTGATAAGTTAAAAAGATAAAAAAGAGAGTAAAGGAAAAGGAGAAAACGCTAAAACATGCTATGTTATCTATTACACTGTAAGATTCTGTATTGTAATCCGGGTTTGACAGGTTTTTTTGGCGTACGGATGACTGGCGAAAGGAACAAAATGTGACGTAGTTTTATTAGAAGCAAAAATAAATCTCTTAATAGATCTTTTGGTCGATAATATTTGCTCATTACCGACGTTGCCTCGCCCGTTTTCATGATGGCGGCTACCCACAAAGTCCGTGAAATAACCACGCTTATTATATACCTACCGTAAGCGCGGACTATAAGGGCCTGTTTACATGGAGGTGGGGGACCCCAGTTAGGTGAGGTAACCCGCTTAGGTGGGGTAACCCGCCTGTTCATGTAATTTGATCACGTTTACATGATAGGTGGAGTGACCCACTACATGTTACCTCACCTATCTTGGGTCCCCCCCCAACTTCCATGTAAACAGACCCTAAGATATAGAATATCTATTTTGCAGTTGTACAGTCTGGCTTTGGCAGGGCCAAACGGAGTCGAGCTGTATCAAATGAAGACAGGAGACCCACTTAGCGTGGTATGTATGAAATATTTCTATTTCTCAATAGTTTACCCATTCCTTTCTTTTTCTGTCGCATGAACTTAAACGTGCTTCATTTCCAGGAAGAGTCTTCGTCACTGCATTCTGATCTAGCCATTGGATTGGTGCAGTTTTCCCCTGATGAACAGTACTTGGCCGTGGTATGTAGGTTTCATTTTACATCTAACCCCAACTCCCTTGGTCCTTTTTCAGGAGCTCAAAAGAGCTCGAGCATAAGTACAGTAGAAGTACTTTCTCAGATCACATACGCACTTCCAATATATGGAGCCAGCCAGGTAGCGGATTTAAACACCATACAATGTTTTTTAAAAAGGTACAATAAGCGACGTTACACTTCTGAGTTAGTTAGTATCTATGACCTTTTAGAGAAGTGTACCCACAGGTTGTTCACCAAAATTAAGAACAATGTTAACCATCCATTATATGCCCTTTTGCCGAAAGTCAGAGTCATCCAAGAAGTTAAGATCACAAACAAGTCAATTACCACGGATTAATACAGAAAGTTTTAAGAATTGCTATTTTAATAGAATAAGGTTTCAAAAAACTCGGCAATCTAACAATATAGATATCCAATGTTTTATCAGGTTTGATATAATAATTGTGAATGACCTGTTCGATTTTCATGATTTGTGTACTTTTACTCTCTGTAACGTTTGTTATGTATTTTAACGGGCAAAATAAAGACATTTATTATTATTATTATTATCATTACATCGGAAAGTGCGCAAGCCAGAATTTAAGTAGTAACTTTTTATCAGTTTGAATTAGTATTTTTAAATAGTTTTTATTTTTTTTATTAACTTTTTGATGCTTTTTATAATTGTTATTAGTAGTCTTTAGATAGTCATTTTACGACAATTCTCTTTCGTACACAAGAAGAATGTACATAGGGTATATATTTTAATATTTCATATTCTTGAATCTGTAAATAGTCTATTTTTTTAAATCTATGAATAAAGTTTTGTATATTATTATTATTATTATTATTATTATCATTAGTTCATCTCCGAATAAGCAAGGATTTGAGTGGGTTTTGACCCTTTGAGCCCTAATATCCACATACAAATTCTCCAAACTGATCTCTGTACATTTCCTTACTGAATTAGTTGGGAGAATTTGAAAAACGAGAGCATTTTCCCTTGGTGATCATGTTATCAATTCTCATAACCTTTTCTCTCGATTGCGTATTGAAAATGTTAGGAGAAAATAGATGTTTATCACTCTTGGCACTTAAATGGTTAAGATCCCCTTTTCATTGCAGCTGCTTATTATTTGTTTATAAATTGCAGGCCGCACTGGATGGGCATTTTGGTATCTGGACTGTTTCAAGCTTGAACACCGACCAGAAAGGTCACTCTTCTTCTGGTTTCCACTAGCGGCGGAGTCGGAGTCGTAAGCAAAGTCATAAGAGCGCTTATGGCCTAGTGAAAATTCAAAATCGGAGTCGTAGGCGGAGTCATAAGTGTGACGGAATCGGAGTCAGAAGAATCAGAAAGTTTCCATTTTCTTCGACTCCGCTTACGACTCCGTCGTCAACCTTAGGTCCGCTTATGATCTCGTGAAAACCAGATTGTCGGAGTCGGAAGCAGAAGCGGAAGGATAAACCAATCACAATGCACATTCACACGCTTTGTGATTGGTTTAGTTCTTCCGCTTCTGCTTGCGACTCCGACGATCCAGTTTTCACTTGATCGTAAACGACGGAGTCGTAAGCGGAATCAGGAGAATCAGAACGCTGTTCTCACTAGATTGTAAAGTTCTACTCTTCTGATTACAACACCGACTCCGTCGCTAGTGAAAACCAGCCTTAAGCAGTAGTGATATAATTTTTATTGTTTTGTGTGAGAGAATCATGTTATCTTCTCTAAGTGACACCGGCCATTTTGTTTTTACGACCTAAACAGAGTTCTGGTATGTCCACCTTAAAACAGTTCGTATTACCAGCATGGAGTTTTCACCCGACAGTAGCATGGTTGCTGTTGCTGGCTGGGAAGGATCGTGGCATTCATACAGAAAGGTACGAATGGTGGAGCTGAGATCATGGTCTTTTCAACTTTTTAATTTATCAATGGCTATTCACGGGTGGACGTGCATTTTAAACTAAGGGTAGTTTAAAGAAGTTATTTCCTACAGTAATTAATTTTAAAGCGGTCTTAGCAGGAAAAACTCCCGTGATTTTGTATTTCCCATCCCAAATAAACACAAGAAACATCAAATCAAGCTTTGCCCTTTTTCCGGTTTAAACCTAACAAGGACAGAGTTAATAGTCTAAAGTGCCGAGGAGCCAGTTGGGTCATCAGCCAAACTTATTATTGAGTGTCATTTTTTTTTTGTCATTCCTATTTCAGAAATTTGAAAGCGAAAGACTGTTATGGGAAGAATTTCACCATAGCAAAACGTCTGACAGAGTTTCTGGGAATTTGCCAGGATCGTTGTTGAGTTGGTCCCCCGATAACAGGTTTATCAGGTAATGTTTGCTTCTTACGTATTCAAATGTTAAACAAAGTCGACGAATGTCTTGATAACACCATTGACAGTTTATTTTGACATAATTAATTTTGGAGAAATCAGAGTGTAAACAATGTTTTATTCAAATGAATGTCTCACTTTATTTTTAGATAAACCAGAAACACTAACTAATAAAAGGTTGGCATTACTTGACCGCAGTACTTTGGCCTCCAGAGAAGCGACTTTTACCCCAAAAGTATTTTTTTTTTTTTCAGACTAACTCTATGTAAAGATAACAAATCTTGTTTGTCAACATTTGATACTCAAACGTCTGTTACCAGTGTGACCCCACTAGATGGTATAGTGAAAGGAGTGGCAAGTTTTAGGTAATTTACTGTCATTTTGTTGTTTGACATTGAGTATCAACAAGGGCCCAGTTGTTCCAAGGCCGATTAGCACTTAATCCGGGGTTAAATTTAACCCGGATTTCTTTTTCTTGTTTTCAAAAGCATTTTCTCGGTTAATTTTCTCTGTTATTTTTAGAGCTTCCAATCATCAACTTGGAGACAAAAAATAATGAAACTGAAATGCTTTTTAAGCTTTCAAATCTGAATTCAAATTACGTACTAACCCTATGTTATCTTAACCCAGCTTTGAACAACTCGGCAGCGCGACCATGGGCAAGAACATCTGGTCTCTATCTCTGCGAAATTCGGTTGTAACATGACTGTCCCTCTTTCCTTTCGCACCACAGATGTGATACTGTGTCACGTGTCTGTATGTTTGATCAGGTGTTCGACGCTATTGCCGCGATCATGTCTTTTAGACTTCCTTTGACGAGTTAATAATTTTCATTGGGTCGCGTGCTCAAGTATTATAAGCATTGAAAGTTATTGTTTCTAGTAAACTAAATAGTTAGTATTTCAGGGGAACTCCTCTTTTAGGCTTGGCTAAGTGTGAAACATATGATATCTTATCATTACAGAGGACGTTCATGTGATTACAGTCTCTGTTTCGTAAGATCGAAAAAGTGTTTTGCCGTACCATGGCCGAAAGACGAAAATGGTGAGTTTTATTACTATCGACTTCGTTTAAGTAAAAGCTACCGTGGTGGTGGTTATTATTAATCTGTAAATCTCCACATAAGAGAAAATTACTTTTCTGTGGTATGATTTTATTGTGCCTACGCGATGGTCTCATTTTTGGTTTGTTGGTTAAACCCTTTGCTGTGATCTTTTAAGTAAAATCTGCTGTGGTGCCATATAGTATGTTTTCACTTACGTGGACAGAAGCTATACAAACTTGGAACGAAAGAAAGCGTTTACAGAATCCCACAGAATTTGTTTGGAAGACCAACATGGCCGCTGTTGTATTGTTTTGGGACACCAATATGGCGGGCGTGACGTCATGTAAAAAGTCTCTATACTAACTAGTCCGTAAAGATTACACAGTGGTCCTAACTACACATTATGAGTCTTTTTCAGTTTGTTACTTTGGGATGGTATTACCATGAAATGAGACATTTTTTTGAATGAGCGGACCATCTGTATGTATGTTTATATCTTCTAACAGGTCCAGTTCAAAAGATCGGTTCAGCAACCAAACAACCTAGAAAGCAATTACAAGAAGAAGAGTCATTGGAGGGCTCCATAACTGTAGAGCGCTCAGCTGATGGGGGAGTCACACTGAAGTGGAGTTGTACTTCTCGAAATATCCTTTCTTTACTGAGGGATATCAGCAAAAGACAGTTGAATAATACTGGTGCTGATCAATCATCCAATGCTCAGCTATGTCCACCAATGCACTATAGTGGATTTGACAGTGAGATCAAACAGGATAAATTTGGGTTAAGAAATTTAAGTCATAGTGGAGATGGCGTCATGAAGACTCAAGATGGTGATGAGATTAACTCGCACGGAAAAACGGTCGACGACAGTTGTAAAACTATAGAACTTAACTCTGCTGAGGCTCTTGCGAGATTGGATTTCAGAGAAATCAAACATAGTCGTTTCAACGATACAGAGGATTCCTTGTGTGAAATGTCTTTGAACGTCCTTGTTGGTGACATTGCTTCAGATATCCCTCAAGAAGACATGTCTTTGTTGACAAAGGAAGTTACTGATGAGGGTGAAAACGTAAAAGGTTTTCAGTCGTCTGAAGGATCTCCTGCAAATAAATGTCACTTCAGAGCCAATGAGGAGTATGAATTTAGTTACTTACAAGCACCGTTCATCAACCCAAGGTTATTTCAAGGGTCTTGTTTAAACGACCCCTCCTTTTTATCGGACAGTAGTACTCAATTATTAAATTCCACAAACTACATTGTAGTAGCTGTCTTGCCGCTGCTGGCGTACGTGTATCATCGGACAAGTGAAGAATGGAGAACACTGCTGTTTTCGCGGGCAGTCAAGTGCTGCTGTATTTCTAACGGTAAGTGTTGCGTTTAGCTCTTCATATCTTGAACGTTTAAAGTGAGGTGGCGAGAGTAAATGTGTGCTCTTTTGCTCTGTATTGTGACGCCTTGTGATTGGCTGAAATATCTTGCACCCGTTTCTCCACCAATCAGAAGTAAGTCTAATACCACTCGTGACTTGCCAGCAATTGTTTTCCCGCCCTTTTCATCGGTTACAGCAATTGCTTCCAGATACGAACGCTTCAATGACCTTTATATTTTCTTCGTTCTGCTCAGATAAATACATGGCGCTTCTCACAAACGATGGTGGGATTAGAATTTGGTGTTTAGAGACCATGAAAATGCTGTGTTTTAAAGATGAAGTTCTCTGTGATAGTGAAAGTGAGTCCCAGAGGTAAGTAAGAACAGCACTACTAGTTTCTGCTACGTTGGCCGTATTTACATTAGCGGACTTTGCAGACGTCTAGACGCTTTAAAAATTTGCTTAGCTGCGACGTTACATACTGATGACGTGTTTGGGTAGTGCATCTGATTGGTTGAATAAAATTTCCCACGCGGCACGACCAATCAGAAGCACTAGCCAGATGTGGTTAGAGACACGTCATCAGTATGGAATTTGGGCGCTCGTTCCTCAGACGTCATTTCGCGGGGAAACCGCTGGTAGCGTCATGAAGTGTCGCTGTTTTCTCAGGCTAAACCAGAACGCGAGTAAGTTTGCTCTGATTTAGTAGTCTGGGTAAAGGAAGATGGTGCGGAGCGAGTAGATTTTTCTGATTATTTTCTAATCATAATTTACTGTTTACTTCTTATTCTGTTAGGTGTATCATATCCGGAAATCCGTTTGAACCGCAATTTAACATCATTAGACTGGACAAGACAGGCTGTGGAAAAATAATACGAATTTGCTTTCAGCCAGGTACGTCACCAGGACGCGTCTTCTCGAAAGATGGTGGACGTTGACACATGGTTAAGAGACAATTTAAACAAATCTCCCCTAAGAGCACGCAGCTAGAGTTAATGGAACATTCTTGAGCCTTTCACAGAGACCCACCAAGACTAACCCAAAATGAAAGTCCAAAACCCACAATCGTGAGTTAAATTTGTAACTTTTTGTTTGCGCCAACCGGCCGTCGTACGCAGACGTTTTAGTCCCTCTCTCCTGTGACTCGTGCAGCCCAATCCCTGCAACAACTTTGCATTTCGCCCACAGACTCTTGAGGGAAAAGTCTCGGGTAGGTGAGGTAACCCGCTGCGGGTTACCCCGCTTATCATGTAAATTGTAATCAAATTAAAATGAGAGATTATATGGACAGGCGGGTTATCCCACCTACCTGGGGTCCCCCACCTCCTTGTAAACAGGCCCTTAGTTTAGTTTCTGCACATGTTGAATTTCAGATCACGGAAGTGCTTGCGTGACGGTGAATCGCCTAAGGGTTTGTTATCCAGATCTACTAAGCCACGCGTGTTCAACAAAGTTGTGTGGCTCTATCGGGCATATGATCATCTTCAAACAGAGCCCCTCCGAGGATCATCAACACAGAACAGTTGGCCAGGAGTGCGATGATTCCACTCCCTCGAAGTGGATAGTAATTGTTCCAGGTACGAAAAGACGAGCTCGTTAGCCGTCGTTAACAAACGCGTTTGGGACAAGCATCTGTTAGCGTTTGCGATACGTTGGCTTATGTTATCCTGTTCTATAACATGCTCTTAACAGCGTCATATACCTGTGTAGCTGATGTTCGAGAGTACACCCTTAATAACTCTCGGTTTGCAGCCTCGTGACAAGGCGGCCATGGAGGTGGCCAGTACAATAAACAATTTGTTTTGAAGAATTTACATAAAAATGGAATTTAGTTCCCAGAGGAGCGAAACCCTTTTGTTCCTGATCATCAACATGGGCGCCATGACGTCACTTGCAAACCAGCCATAAATAACATTGCTTCTTAAAAATTAAGGACAAAGTAGCTTAAATTTGTTATTTTATTCTCTGGGAAGCAATGCATGTTTCAATCTGTTATCTGTTATTTGATTCACTTTATTTACAGAACTTGGAATTAGCCAGAATGTCGTTGAAGACAGAGAATGTTCCTTAGAGGGATTTGTAATTCGTCACCATAACGATTTATGCAGACTAAGCAGCTTGGCAGCGATGAACCGATAAGTGGCTTTTAACTTGTGCGGAAGTTATGTTTCCATTATATAGCCCATTTCAAACAAACTGAATGTCTATTTATCAGTGTTTTTATGTGTTCACATACCTGGCGCCCAGGTGGGTTTACCCTCGGCAGGAGCATTAGCTTCTGCCCACAATCGGTGCTTTCACAGTTAACGCTATTTCGCCCAAAACCAGGCTCACTGCAGCCTTTGAAAATACAATTATCAGCACCAAGTTCGTGAGATACATCTTACGACTAGGTAAAAGAACTTGTTTTTCAGCTGCCAATACAAGGAAGGCTCTGCCTCCTTTTTTTTCCTGCAACGCTTTTTTATTACTCTTTTCGTCGTGTAGTGCATGACATCCTTTACGCCTCCTATGCTGCCCTCCCCAAAGTGGTGAATCACTCAGTTGTCATTATCTTTCTCTGAGGTTCACTGTTTTCACGTGCCCATCGGGGTGATTTTCACTTTCCCGGGCCACTTTATTTTGAGACCCCTCTTGAGTTGCTGATTCTTGCTACATTTATATTTGGCTGCAGCCGTAGAGGGTCGGGTGGGAGTAAATTTATCTGGGATATCAAAATTGAAGGCGTAGCAAAAAGTACAGGGGCGGATCTGGGGGGAGGGTGCAGGGGGTGCGCACCCCCCCTGAGATGACCGGCGGTTTTCTAATACAACTGGTATTTTGCAAAAAAAAAAAACTATGTGGTTTATTGGTGTTGAAGTAGCGCAAGAGACGAGTGCACCCCCTCCTAAAAGAAATCCTGAGTGTTGCCAGATACAATGCGCTGTTATTCACCGAGCTTGAGGGCAAGCTGGTTAATTAACCGAACAAATTTGGTCAAAGAGGGATTTGTTTTATGGCCAAGAGACTTTGCGGGAAGAGAGCGGACAATCTCAATCGGCCATTTTGGCCACTGGAATTAAGCCAATCCAAAGGCAAGATTGTCTGCCCTTGGAGTCAGCCACCTATTTTTGGTCTACCGTCAAACTTTCCATTGATGGTAAAATCATGGGAATGGAAAGGTCAGTTCATGGACCATGCCTCAGTTGTATCGAGTGCCCCAGAGAAAAGAAAAAGTAAAATAGTTTTTTCGCCAGTCTGACAGTTGTGTAAAGGGGAAAAAAGACGAAAGCATCTTTTTTTCACTACCTTGCTCGTATGGTTGGCACTTCGCCGCAAGCTAGAAGAAAAGTTGATCTCTTATTGGAACCACAAACCGTTCAACACTCACAAAGCCTTAACCTTTATTTTACAATTATAAAAAATTATATTCCCCCTGCTCACCTTTTAGATCTTCACAGGAAAGAGCCCCTCAAGCATTTGTGAAACTAAAAAAATACAGTCACAAACTTAGGGTTGAAACAGGAACATACAACTATATACCCCGTGATGAAAAGCTATGTAGTCTTTTCAACTGTAACAAAATTGAAGTTAAAACTAACTTTTTACTAAATTGCCAATGCTATTATCTATGAGAAGTGTTTTTTTTACAAAAGTGAAACCTACATTCCCGTTTCTACGACCAAGGTCACATGAAACTTTATAATCACTTCTGATGAATTCTCCTGACTATTTTATAAACTTTCAATTAATTTCATTCATTTTATCATGGTTCGAATTGACAAAAACAAACGTGTTTTTGAATAATTACTCCTAGTGCATTAATAATCGAAAATAAGCAATGATTAACTTTATTTTATATTACTAGTTCTTGCTCTCTTTACGTCTCTCTCTTTTTAAGGCTATTTCATGCAATAAATCAACGAATCAAGATTCAGATTGGTTTTTGCAATACTGCAACACTTTGTTATAGAGCGTTTTCACTCAGGTGGCCAGCATCCATGCAAATTTATGAGAACAAACGAAATTGTTTACACAAGAAAAAGAATTCAACTCCAACAGGACTGGCTTGGAAAACCAACATGGCTGCCGTCTCATTGTTTTGGAACATCAATATGGCCGCCGTGACGTCATGTGAAAACGCTCTGTAGAGCGCTTTAACCAACGTGGCCAAGAGCTGTGCAAATTTTATTGAAACAAGAGAAAGTTTTTACACAAGAGGAAGGTTTCATTTTTTTTGGACACTAATTTGGCGGACGTGACGTCATGTAAAAACGCTCTATAGTCATGTAAATAAAGCTGTTGTTGCTGTTGTTAAATCTTAACGTCGGACGTAACCGCTAACGTGTGACGTTTGTCAAACTCTTTATTCTAACGTCAAACGCTAGGAGTTTGACAAAGGGAGTTTCAGTTTAACAAAGGGATATCAGCAGAAACTTGCTCTAAAAATTGGCTCTGCTCAGCTCTGCGTTTGCTCAGCTTATAATGGGACACATCCAGTAGTGAATAACGCACAGCATATTTCTTGGACCAGTAACAAAGAGTCTCGCTTTCCCTTTACAATGGCAGCTGTATATAAGTACGGTTGTGTTCGGTACAAGCAGTCCATCCTTAAAAACGTACTCGGCACCTCTCTCTGTTGAGCATATGGCCGCGAGAATTTTCCATCCCTAAAAAGATATGATACATCCGCTGTTAGAGCATACATCTGGCTACAATCGAAAACTGATGAACGTGTAAGGCAAACATTGTAGCCAGGAAGAGGTTCGTTAACTGGCACTGAGGTGCAGTCTTATGTTTTACGTGCGCAAACTTCGAATGATTTTAATAGTTTGTCAAGCGTTTCTTGTGGTATGAAGTTTCTAGGTGGCTTGAATGTTATTCGTTGCGTACGGTCAAGCCCGAAATCTTTAGCGAAAATTATCTAAATATAACAGGGATCTTTGTCTACCCTGATAACCATTGTATGCTTCTGAATTATGGATGTATGTTGTGAAGTTTTTGCTACACAAGGGCAATGACGGGTTCTAATTACTTCACCAATAGCGTCGTTATATACCCTTTGATCGTTACCTATGCATTCCGATTAATGGTTTCTCTTTATTGTACTTATTACTTTGGAACTTATTTAATTAGTTACCTGGACTCAATCAAATTCCAGGATAGCCTTAAAATAATTCCAATAAAAGGATAACGAATGAATTACGTACCGGATGTTCATCTTCTCGAAGCTGAACCACTGAATCTGCTGCGTCTCCTGCTGTTTGTGCAGTTTCCTTTTTGAACCTGTACTGACAAAGAGTCAGATTCCCAGCCCCAGGCTTTCCTGGCGGACCAGGAGGGCCTTGTGGTGCTAGCTCTGACCCATTCCACCCAGGTGGGCCCATTGGTCCTTGTGGACCAGGGACTCCCTGAGATCCTTGGGACCCGTTGAACCCCCTTGGTCCCCTTGGTCCTTGACGACCCTGCAGTCCAGCAGCTCCCGGAGGTCCTGTAGGTCCCTGTTGGCCAGGAGGTCCGGGTGGTCCCATACATCGGCTGCAATTGAATCCCTGTGATTTACATACGTTGAGCGAGTGAGAACATTGCGTTGGATATCCTGACTTACGGATGTTTTCAGAATTTTAGAATTTTCGTACCGAAGAATTCAAATATAGACTTGTCAACATTTCTATAGTTTATAACGGCCGTTGAAAATAATAAACAAGTTCTTTGGAAATGGACTGAAATTTTAAAACAACGTGGAGTACACAAAATATGATCTCAATTCTGTTGATTGCTGTTCGTTTTCTTCTATAGCCATTCTGGCGTTTTGATAAGTTATGATGTTTTAGTTTATTCTCACTAATTTTAAGTCGGTTTTACCCATTTCACCCTGAATGAGCTGCCTGCCGATCACTAAGGTGCCGCTCTGGAACTGCCAAACATTTTTTTCAGTATATCGTGAATCCTCTCTTAAGCCCCCTGGAGGCATATTTCTTTCAAACACATTTGGGGGGGGGGGGTCATTTGAGAAGGAAAGCTTGTTTAATTTAGCAAAAAATGATGGTGCTTAGTGGGGATTTACGATATACGTGTGACGTTACCTCAGCTATTGTACTTTTCTGCCTCGCGACTTCACTTCTGACGTCGTCAAGTTGACGACGAGTGATGTTGAGCGAGTCTGTCAGTTCTTTTATCTTGTGGATGTACACAGTTTCCAGGCACTTAGTCAATCCTCCATCTGAAGGTCCTGGAAGAAATGGGAAAAATTGCACTTCCCCTCGTTAAGATTTTCGTATGCCCTTTTAATGATTCCAATTCTATGTACCAGCATGTAACTAATGTTTACATCTATCCACGCCTAAAAGCGCAGCCGCCCCATTAACTACTTTTCGTTCATTCAAAACAATAAACATTGAAGTCTTAAGCGTTTTAACTTTTTTTTTACCAATGGATTTTTCCCGTGCTCAAAGGAGCCGAATCCATGAAGAGGAAACAGAAGGTTATTATATTCTTTTTCTGTTGTTATTGATAGGGCCACAGTTAGAATTTCGACAATTTGTAACAGATATGAGGAAGGGTGTATGCTTGGGCAGAATTTTCTTATACGGCTTTGAGTGGTTATAGCTTAGGATTGCACCCAAGTGTACAAAACCAGTGTCATAATTCCGACTTGTGAGTGGGCACGTAGGGAACATTTAAGGTTATATCGTTACTCAGCAACTCAACATTGAACGTAACAGCTAACTTCCGACGTTCAGCCCAGTCAAAACTCTTCAATCTAACGACCGACGTTAATCCTTTATACCCCAAGATTGAACAACATCAATTTTCTATCAAGTATATCAACAGCAAATCCACAAAGAAGTGAGTGATTGTGCGTCGGAAAGTGGGATTAATGGAAGAGGCTCTGTCGGGGCAATACATCGATATAATGAGAGCATCAGTGCGAACATCATCGACGATTATCTTTGTTGGATGAAAGACAGGGGCAAGTTCTTTTAATCTAAGTAGAATATCGACCTATCCAGACTGTGATTTGGAAAATTTATAGCAATTTTGGTGATGTTGAATTATGTTTTGGAAAATTTTACCCATTTTGTGACGCAACGTTTCCGCAATTAACCTGTATAATCCGGACAAGATTAAACCACGAAGAAATGAGGTTTCTTGATTTCATCAGAACACTCCTCCCTTCCCCTCCCTCCACACTCATCCTTTCCTTACTGAGGAGGGGGAGGGGACACCCTACCTGCAGGAGAGGGAGTCTGATGGGCCCATTTCTCAGACATCGTTACCAGAATTCTCAAGGACAGGCTCACTGCCGCTGCAGAAAAATTATAAAAACACTCCTCCCTTCCCCCCTTCACACATTACTGGTTTTGTTACTGAGGAAGGGAGGGGGAACACTCTACCTGCAGGAGATGGAGTCTGATGCGCCCATTTCTCAGACGTCGTTGCCTGAATTATTAAGGACAGGCTCACTGCCGCCGTGAGAAGAGTTATCACCAGAAGCAAAGTCATTTGACACATCGTACGTCGAAACAAATCCATTTGCTGTTGCATTGTCTGCGCTAAGACGTTTAGTGTGTCGTACACTTTATCTGGTTGTTCGTCTCCCCCTGCTGCTTGTTTCACAGGAATGTCATTGTTGTTATTTGCTATCACTTCATAGATGCCCCCATCGTAGAGCTGACTAATCTTCTGCCCTGGCAGTTCTCTGGGGTTCTTTTCTTTCTCGGCTTTCCCGGTGCTCGCTCTTCTTGATTTGGGTTTCGTTGAGGCCTTTACTGTGGTTAACCATTCAGTGCTATCGTTTCCTTTCATCTTGCTCACATGTTCAGTGATATGAGTTTTTTCATATTGCGGATTTTCTTGCATCTTCACAACATCGCTATTCATTACGAGTTGTCGAATCTCAACAATCTTTTCGCCATGAGCTTCCCCAGCGGTCGCGCTCCTAAGTTTAGGTTTTTGCGTAGCTAAACTGGACTCATTGCCTTCAGAACCTGCGTTCATGTACAGATGAGTTCCATCTGCGGTGGTCAGCTCGAATCGAGGTTGTTCTTGTGTTTTCACCTGACGCTGCATTTTGTAATGAAATATTGTGTGAACAACTTTGTCTTTATGAGCTTGAATGTCTACGTTACTGTGTGCGTGCGCTCAGGACAAGAACATTAATCGTATACAAACTCGCGGGTTTTAAAAATCCCTTTAAATCCTGGCAAGGAAAACGATACCCTATATTGGTTAAATTTGCCCTCTAAACTTCTTGTAGTTCTAATGACAGGAAAAAGTAATCATCCTTTTTCAGTCCTGAACACCTGGCTGCCGTTAACTATTGCAGACTAAAACTAGAGAACAAAACAATAATTATACTTTCCCTGAATGGGTGCACAGTATCATGAGGTCTCCACAAACATATATATCTCCAGGCAGGTTTCAAACTAACCAAAGAGTGATCCTAATAGTTTGTTTTTATAGGAACCCAATGGCATACATCTCCAGATAAGCTGGATTGCAAATAGTTTTTGTTGCCAGAAATATTTAAATGTCATAACTGTTCATCAGTAGAATGCCTAGAAATGTCTTAATGCTCCTTTTGGTTAGACTTGGTCTCTTGAAAAAGGTAAACTTGTGGGCAAGTCTACAGAGTTACTGACACTACATATTAGTAAGAAAAACGTCTGAAGGTAAATGCAATACGTAAAATTGCGAATGAAACATATACTTTAATCAAATACACTGGAAATACGAAACTCGTTGCTGCACTCATCTTAAGCCCTGTCGATCGCGCTGGTTGGTTAACCAGTTGCGAATATCCTGTGGTGGGCACTCCTACTTTTTTCTCCCTTGTCTTCTTTTTCTTTTATTTATTTATTTATTTATTTATTTATTTTATTGTCCTATTTGATTCTTAAATGCGCAAGCACGCGTCAATTAAATTAAGTAGATAAACCAGTTAGTAAATATATAAATAAAGCCATTTGTTCTGAACACGTGACGCACCTACGCGGAATACACATGCGTATAACCATTTTATCCAGTTGGACAGTTGCAGCCATGAAAAACAGCTCAAAACAGCGACGAGTGCTCGTGTTCTTGACCAACGCAAAAATACGGCAGTTCCTGTAGTGTAACAGCTGAATCGGCCTTACCGGGACTAATGAACATGATAAAGCCCTTCGGAAGTATTACAGCACTTGGAAGACCGCAACTCCAAAGAACTATGCAACATTAGCCTCATTTGCTGACGCTTTTTGGCTTGTCACTCGATACTACCTGTATTCGGCGAGAAAAGGTTACTTTTTGACGATATGGTCTTGCGTAACCAAAAAATAGCTTCTCACAACAACCGTTCAATTTTTTATCGTGCATTTTCGCTTGCACTGTAGCGAATTCGTCACCAATAATAGCGTGTACTATGGCACGTTTTTTTATCCCGTGTTCACTCAGTCCGATTCAGCTCCTTCTAATAAACAGTGGATGCAGATGAGGCTTTCAACTGCTTAAAACATAAGTTTTTACAAAAATGATTTTCCCTTTTGCTTCAATGAAGAATGAAGTTATGATGTAATGTGTGGTTGTTGTTGTTACCTTTCTGTGCGACCAATTTCTTTATTTTTGCGCAATTTCGCCATTTATTGAATGAAAATAAATTTCGTAATTGTACTACAGGTGGTGAAACGAAAATCCAAATTTGGGATCCTATTAGGCCATCTGTTTTAACCCTTTAAGCCCTAATATCAAAATTGAAATTCTCATTTACTGCCCCATACGTTTCCTATAAAAGTAGTAGTGAGAAGTTGTATCAACTCATTACATCTTGTGTGATCATGTCCTTAATTCTCACCAACAATCTGTTTTATAAAGCATTGATATCACTAGGTGAATTTTGATACTGATCACTCTTAGGGCTTAAAGGGTGAAATGCTGTTACACTACCGATCCTGTTTCCATCCTCTCGCTTGGTGGCTTCTGAAAATAGATACCTCAACGGAAATAGAGACACTTCGGTGAAAACATGCGTTCAATTTAAAAAATATATATATCGCATATGTTTCACTGTAACAACGTTTCATTTTCATTTTTGTTTAGCCGTTTTTTAAGGATACTGTTTCACTTGAAACTAAGGTTTTAAAACGTTGAAATGGTGTTCGTCTCAAGGCTTTAGAAATTGATCAATGTCGGCGCAAGCCCGCTCTATGGAAAAGTCGCCAGACTTGCTTGTTAAAAACCGCAAATAGTCTAATACCTATGCTCTCGGTGACAGGCACAAATTCTTTTCATCAGTTATGAGCGGGTGCTCTGTTGTAAAAGGGACACTCGCGACTCTCGAGGAAATGGTTTTCAACTGAGCGAAGGAAAGAGCAAGGAAAGGAAAATTTAACAATTTAACAAACAAGATGACACAAATTTTTCAGGTTGTAAATTTGTACTCTCCGTCTTTCTCTCCTTTCATCGCGAAGCACAATCTCGTGACATTACTTTTTTTAAGTACTTCAGTCTTAAAGTTTTCCTGTTGTGAAAACTGGATAATGCAAAGTTGTATAAACAGTATTTGGGGTATTTCCATATCTCGTGACCGACTGACCCTTAATTACACAAATCCAAGGTTGCGTTTAGCGGAAAATTAGCAGCATTTAACGGATTACGATATTGAAGATTACTGGAAATGCCAACAAAAATGAACTAACTATGAAAAAAAAAATCGCAAAGCGTTTATAATCTCCTCCTCTATATTTTTCGTTTATGGAGTAGCTTGTCCTAAGCCTTTTTTCTGTCAAACTGGCTTGTTCGCTAGCTCTTTCCTATAATTCTCCTTTTAGTAAATTTTTCTTTTCCTTTTTTCACTTGACAACGCTTTTTTGTCCTTCCCATCTTCAATATTCCAGTGGGCGAATCTAGAGGGAGTGTGAAAGGCCATCGTGAGCGCAGCTAGTCCCATACCCATACAGACCCGGTTTGGTTGTTGAAGGGAGGCAGCGTGGCCGGGCTGTATTTTTATGACATGGCTAGAAGAAAGAATGATATGCATCTTCCATTGACTTTTTTCGAATCCTTTTTAAGGCACTCTATTTAAGTTGTTGTTTTCAAATGCTCTTGGGGATATGCAGTCCTGCCAGGAGAATTTGATAACAAGTTTATGCAAAATCAGAGGCAAACAGAGAGTATTATAGGTGGTTCAAAAATAGAGAATATCGAGCTCAGTTAAATTGCTAATTGATAAAATATGTCAGCTTTCAGATGGGGACCGACTTAATAGTAACATTACCATATCTCGGGCTCAGGTATACGATTCATTTAGGTCTGGTATCGTTTCAAGTTGCCCGCTGACCAATTAATATGTTTTTATTGGCTCAAGTTTTGTTATTTAATGAAAGGATCAGAATCAAATTTGTGGCCCATCTCACTCTTTTGACCGCTGGAAAATGTCAGCACGGACAAACCCGTTCTCAATATTATTGGTATAAAAGGTCGGCAGCTTCGATCTCTCATTTCAACATCAGCTTTTCTGCTTTAGAGCAAGGCTGGTGCAGTGGTGTGAGCACTCGCCGCCTCCCACCAGTTACTGACCAGTGTGGCCCGGGTTCGAGACCCGCCATCGACGCCATATGAGGCTTGAGTTTCTTGTTGGTTCTCTCCCTTAATAGTTCTCCCAGTTGTTTTTGGTACTCCGGTTTTCCCAACACTTCCAAATTCAATTCGATCTGCAACGCACGGACACATTTAAACGAGTTCTTAAGAATTCCTAAGTGCTACGTCATCCATATTTGTGATGCTGACGGACATACATGCAGACGAATCGATGGGGATGGCAGGACCGTACGTCCGACGACAGACTGCTACGGGACGACCAAAAACTTACCAGATGAAGAGATTTCGTATCTTCTTGCCCATGCTGTGCTCCGAACTGCGTTGGAGCCTAAATTCTTCCTGTTTATCATGCTATGTTAAAAATAATACTGATACGAAAGAATGAAATGAACAGTACCTCAGCCACTACTATTATTCTTATTCAAGTTACAAATTTACGAAAGAAATTATTCATTTATTTATTTTATTTTAGTTTGAACAATATTTATTCAGGGGTGCCCAGTTCAGCGAGGCTGGTTTGAATGGGGCCCTGATAAAAACTAAATGACGACATCGGAAATTGTGAAAACCATGTGTTATGGCAAGGCCACTACACAAAAAGTCCAATGGCTCCTGAAAAAAAAAATTATAACCAAGGAAAATGCTTGAAAAATAATTTTTATGGCTGTTTTACCCGACGAACTTCATTTTTGATATTTATTACAGCTCACATACAAAAGAAAAAGATTGACAAGGTTTTCCTTTTCATTTTTTATTGAATTCTTTGAAGTAACATATTTCATCTGGAAGGTACGTTTTTGGAGACCATAAAGTCTATGGTCTCTGCCTGAAGTTGTACTTTAGCTTACAAAAACACTATAAGTTTTCAAACACTGCACGTGGTTAATCTCTTTTTCTGTTGTGTTTTGATGTGATGACTAATGTATTGCTTAAATTCTACTATTATTTGTGGTCTAACCCGCTGGTTCATAGGTATTCCATGATTTAAAAACTCTAGGTTCAATAAAAGCAGCGTCGGCTGAGTCGCTCCAAAACGTAGCTTTAGTTATTTCAAGATACGCCCTATGTTTCAGCTTTTCTCTAATAACGTCATTAGTTGTATCATAAACATACAACGGTAGCCTTTTCACAAAAACTGTCGGAGTCACTTGGTCATTTTGTTTGTCTTTAGCTTTGATCTTATAACTATTGGGGTTGAACAGGATGGAGATTATCCAGTCATGTGAGGCTGGCTTATCATAAAATAGGACTTTACAATCAGTTTCCCAATGAGGCGTATTCCAATCAGTTTGTATCGCATAAGGACGAAGACAATAGTACTTCTCTCCCCCTGACAGTTTTCGTTTGGTATATAATTCGTCATTTACTAGTTTAACTTTAAATCTGTATTTCCTCAACGCATTCCCAGTTCTCCAAAAATCTAAGTACCATGGCTTCATGTTAGAATTGTATGTTGTTGCGTTGTGTTTCAATTCGGCCAAATCAACAATAAC